TGTTCAACTCTACCAGGACCAGAGGACACACCTCCAAGTCAGCTAAAGGAGAAGCACTTTTTGTTTTCTGACAAACCTAGGAGAAGAAAAGTGCTTGCTAGCTCAATTCACCTGGGCTGCTCTGCCAGAAAATCAAACAAGTATCCAAAAACACAGGCTACCAACTTCCAGTAGCATTCTTTTGTTGCTTTGGAGCAGAGGAAGGAGACAAAATAAACATTTTTGAGAAGTCAGATTCCAGACACTAAAAATAGTATAATGGAATTTTCCTTTGAAGCTGCCTTTTGCTAACAATGAGGTTATATTTAAAAAGAAAGCCCAAGACAAGATATATGGTGGTGACTCCAGAAGTGTGAGATCTGAGAAATTTGTGGGAGAAGATCACCAAGTTAAGAAAGTATTAAAGTACCTAATGGGATCTCAATGAGAATGTCAGCAGCTGTTAAACAAATAGTGAGTACATCTGTATCTCCTATAGTATTATCTGTATTTGTCTATATGTTTGAAATATTCATAATAGAAAATCTTAAAGCAATGGATCAAACCATTCATCAAATTTATAAATATGCATACCCTTTGACCCCAAAATTCTATATCTAAAAGTTTTCCCTAAAGATGTACATATGCAAAATGACAAGTATACAAGGCTTTTCATTGCAGATCCTCTCCACCACCCCCCCTTCTGCCCCCCACATTTGAATTCAGGGTCTCATGCTTGCTTGGCAGGTGCTCAAACTCTTGAGCTACACTCTCAGCCCTTTTTACTTTTGTTTTTCAGGTAGGGTCTTGATTTTGCCTGAGGCAACCTTGGACATCAATCCTCCAACCTACACTTTCCTTATAGCTGGGATTATAGACACGTATCACTACACCCAGGATTGTTTGTTGAGATGGGGTCTCACTAACTTTTTAACCAGGCCAACCTTGAACCTCCATCCTCCTCATCTTCACATCCCAAGAAACTGGGGTTACAAAGGTGAGCCACCTTGCCTGGCCACTCATTGTAGCATTTTACAGCAAAAGATTGGTAACATCCTGCCTGCCCACTAAATAGGGCACTGACTAATTATATGACTGCATTAAAATGGAGTAATAAGCAGGAGAAAGAAAGGCCTTCTTCATACGCTAGCATGGATTAATATTAAAGACAATAAGTAAAACAAAACTACACATACAAGGCAGTGTATACCATTTTCCCATGTATTTTTTTTTTTTAAGGAGGGAAGATTAATCCATAAAGGCAGGGATTTTTTGTCTGTTTGGTTCAATTTGTCCTCAGTGTCACATATAGTACCTGGGATATACTAAGCATTCAACAAATATCTGCTCAATTCATTTCTTAAATGAATAGATGAACATATCATCTGTGGAAGGAAACAGAAGAAACTATTAATATTATTATTTTCACAGAAGGGGAAAAAGTAGCTGGTATGAGCACAAGATTTTTCACTGTATATATTTTTCTTTTTTTAATATGGGGGCTGGCCTCGAACTCTGAATCCTCTTGCCTCAGCCTTCTGAGTATGGGATTACAAGCATACACCCACCAAACCTGGCTTACTACTTATTTTAATGTGTTTTTTTTAATCGAAACTGGGTTTTGAACTCAGGTCCTCACACTTCCAAATCAGGCGCTCTACCACTTTAGCCACACCACCAGTCCATTTTGCTTTGGTTATTTTGGAGATGGGATCTTGTGAACTATTTGCCCAGGCTGGCCTCAAACTGCAATGCTCCTAATCTTAGTCTCCCAAGTAGCTAGGATTATAGATATGAGCCACTGGCAACCAGCTTTATGTGCCTTTTTAATATTCAACTACATTAACATATTAGCTAATCAAAAAATAAACAGAATTTAAAAGACAAGAATATGGTCTCTGCATCCTGATCCCAGCACTGCCACCAACCACATTCCCTTCTCACTCATTCATATACTCAACAACCAGTTTTGCTTTTTTTCTTATAAGTTTTTTTTGTTTTGCCTACCCTGTGCCAACTTTAGAACACTAAAGATGGAGATGAAGAGCTCAGTCTCTTTCCCAAGCAGCATATAATCCAGTAAGGGGATAAACAAGTGGCCCCACATATAATACAGTGCGATGGCTGCTGATGAAGGTGTGTGGGAGAAAGCTAAAGGGAATGGAACCTCGAAGCCCAGGATAAGGTTTCTCAAGGAGACAATTCTTGAACTGAGACCTCAGAGCAAGAGAAAATTAGATTGATGGCAACAGACGTGTTTCAGACAGAGGAAACAAAATGGAAACATGAGAGAACATAACACATTTAAGGAACTCAAAATAATTTGATATGGCTGGAATGTAGGGTGCTCTCCAACTTGGGGGAAGATGGAAGTACGCACACCATGCTAAAAAATCAGATTTCACCCTAAAGAAAATGGAAGCCACTGAAAGGGCACGACTTTTTGATAATCAGATTTTAATTTTAGACAGAATATGCTGCAGTAGTAAAAAAGAGGGTAAGATGGAGGAAGGAGGATCATTAGGACACTATTATACTACGAGGTTAAGAAAACAGAATCTGAGCTAAGAAAGTTTGTATTGGGAGCAAAAGAAAGGATGGAAGTAGAATCGTACCAAATTTGATCATTATTCTTTTTTTTTTTGAGTTGGGTGGAGTAGGATAAATGGACAAAAATAGGGAATATTGTCAGATGATTCCCAAACAACTGGGCAGAAGTTAGTGCCTTGAATAAAGTAATAGGAAAGAAAAGCAGGTGCCAGAGTAAAGATGGAGGGCTCAGTGCACAACATGTCAAGTAAAAGACACCCACAGGACATCTAAAAGAAGTTCTCCAGTACTTAGGGTAAATGTCAGACGCCAGGAAAGAGACCTCGCCCCATATCACCACAGCAGATAAGTGGGATTAAGATCACTCAAGAAAAATATAGAGGGCCAAAGACCAAATCCTAGAAAGCATCTTTACAGGAAGATAAATCTGTAAGTGAGGATAGGAAAAAATATCAGGAAAAGATCAGATCACAGTTGTGGAAGGAGAAATTTTCAAGGAAGATCGAGTGTTTCATAGTGCCAAGTACCCAGAAAGGTCAAGTAAGATCAGAACTGAAAATGTGTCATTGAATTTGGCAATTAGGAGGTGATAAGTGACTTTGAAAGAAGCAATTGCAGTAGAGCCATGGGGGCTGGAAGCTAAAAGGCAGGTATATACCAGTCTTAAGAATCTTGGGGGTCTGAGGAGAGGTACCTGCCTAGCAAGTGCAAGTCCCAGAGTTCAAGCCCAGTACTAGCAAAAAAAAGAATCTTGGAGGTAACAGAACATGGCCATGAAGGAATTTTTTTACTTCTCACCTCTTGTGTTACCCTTTCTTTCTCATAATATAGCTGAATATTTAAGAATAATGCAAAGGGAGATGCACATAAAGTCACACTAACACTTTATTAGATATAGAATGGCGATCACTTGATGTCCTATTACCTCTACTTTAAAGCAGGTTTCATTTACTCCATAAATCAAATTTTTTTTCTTTTCTTTGGTATTTTATTCATATGTGCATACAATGTTTGGGTCATTTCTTCCCCCTTCCCCAACCCCCACCCTTACCGCCCTCCCCACTCCCTCCCTCTCCCCCCCACCCCCTCACTACCAGGCAGAAATTATTTTGCCCTTATCTCTAATTTTGTTGAAGAGAGAGTATAGGCAATAATAGGAAGGACTAAACGTTTTTGCTGGTTGAGATAAGGGTA